TATTCAAAAAACATCCACCTGCCTTGACTTCTGGCGCCGATATTAGATCCTCAATTTAAAACATAATTACATTTTACTTATATGATTCTACTGATGACATTCGCCTATGTTACTTACATTGGAGTACTTTGTATAATATAGGCTCGAATTTCGAAAATCGATTCTATCGCGTTACTCTCCATTTTGAAAGAAGGTAATAAAAAGTCAAAAAAATTCAAGTTAAAACTTCCACTTACTACTTTCTTTGAAAAAAAAAAGAGTTTTATAAAAGTGGTGGTTGATTAGAATAAGAGAGATATGTAGATCTTCTGGACGATTAAATAATATTTTGATAACATGAAATACAAATAGTTCAATACTGGGGAAAAAAAAGTATATACATTAAAAACAAAGACAGGATATTAAAACAACAAAAAGGAATAAACTGACAACGATAGAAGAAATTTCGATCTTTATAATGTTGATAAGATGTTGATTTTCTTTGTTTTTTACTCTCGACCAGGACGATATTCGATACCATATTTTTGTCTCAAACTACGCAATAATGTACGATTAAATGGACAATTAACATTTGTGCCACCTGTAATAAATCCTCCTTGTGCCCATTGTCTGCGTTCATGTACCAAATCTTCGGTCCACATATTATTGCACCAGAAATAGCCACTTTTTCTTATAGTAACTAACCTACAAAAGTCTTTATCATATTTGCATTGTTCTACAAATACTTGTCCGTCAGGTGCAAGATTATCTGTTGGATTTACTGGTATTGAAAATCCTTGCATGATAAGTTGTGCTGCTTGCTTTATCAGTTTGACTAATTCGATTTTTTTAATTCCATTTCGTCTTTTATTAATTGGATAATATAGACCTTTGATATACGGAGTACCTGCTGTTACATATTGTTCGAGAAATGATGGATAAGCGATAGGAGTAGTTTCTTTTTTATATGGATTTAAACCTCCAAGATTAATATTTATTGAACCATCAGAGAGAAATGTTTGATACATTTGACCTGTACCAGGTCCTGTAACATGAATATCCATATCACGCAAAATTCTCAATTGAGCAATAAAATTGTTGTCTATTAATTCGTATGTTGCTGATCTAGAATCAATTGGCGTTGATTTAAGATTAAAGGAAACATTAGGTTTTGCTTCTATATAACGATAATTAATATAAAAGACCCGAATAAGTGGATATGGTAATTTTTTAATATCGTCTATACTTTTATTGATATGTTCATCAGTATAATTATTGATTTCATTCATTGCTGTTCGAATTTCTTCTCGTTCTTCTATTGTAAAACGTTTATTATCAATAATATAAGCATGTAAAGGTCTAGCTATATTCCGATTTTCTGCTGAATGCTTTCGTCGAACATCGACTGGAATGATTCCATGTTGTCTATACATTCGATCTCGAAAGAGTTGAGATCCATTAAGTTCTATACCTCCTGCTAATTGATAATTTGATTGAATGCATCGTTGACACATCATACCACTACCCATTACTAGTTCTTCAAAAACGAACCATCTATTGGGCATAATCGAATCTATAATATTCGTTTTGATTAATCCACCTCCAGCAAACCGACTGTATACATCTTCACTAAAACAACTACCACAATTAACATTATCTAAGCCAACAAGCACACGAAACGGTTGAAGATGTTTGGGAGTAAAACGAATAAGTGCAACATAAGCTGGATAGAGTCCATCAAAAAGTGCATGACCAATATTTTTGTGCCAACGTTGATTGAAATGGAGTGTCAATCCTGAAATAACCATTGGATCAATAGTAAAACGAACAAATTTACGTAGTTCGTCATATGTGTCAAATACACGATGATTTGGTCGAAAATCTGTTATGGCTAATGCTTCAAGACGAACACCTGGTAATGATAAATTATTTTCTTTCAATGATAAAGCCCAAAATCCACGATTTGTATAATAAAGATTTTTGTAGAGACACGATTGATTATATAGTGGACCGATACATTCGACGGTTGTTACTAAAGATCGTAGATCAGTCTGAGATGATAGTGCAGAAATTCGAGATGACTTATAACTATTTGATAAATCATTTTTTTCATTAATACTGATTTTAAAATTTGATTGAATACTGTTCATATAAGGCAAATATTTTCTCTGTTTGAAAATTACAGCAAAGTTTACTATAAATATTAACATACCAATAAGAACAACAATAAGTGTTGATGAACCGATCGTCGATATTTTTCTTTTTTCACATAACATTGTTGAAAATAATTAAATTCTATTGTTTGTATTATTTATATTATGATGAATACAAATATCACTTTTCAATCACATTGCTTATTGTACGTATGTATGTTATTCAATTTTTTTCAATTTCTCATTTGATAGTAATTATAAATTCAATTGTTTAAAAACGAAAGTTCAATATTCAGCATATGTCGATTAATCTAGATTAGCTATTTTTATTAAGATTTTATTGCTTGTTGTTATATTCGATGAAACTAATATAGGAACAACATATACGTCCGTGTGTGACGCCGAAGTAAAAACAAAGGAATAAAGAAAAACAAACAAAAAAGATGAAAGGAAAAAGAAAAAAATTGATTAGAGGAAAAAAAGGGAGAAAATCTAGTAGGTCACAATGAATAGACACTATCTAAAAATTCAGCTATTTAAATGAATACAAGGAACCTCTTGCTCCTTTTTTGTTTGAATGATACTCAATATAGATTTTCTCGTTAGATAAGCAGCAAAACTTTTATCAACTTTTTATGGTATTAAAAAAAGTTCAGACGAGTAAATTGATTATTCAGTTAAGAGTAGAAATGGCTTACGATATAACAGAAATAAGGGAAATGGTGACGATAGACGTTTAAAAAATAAAATCATGTGCTTGTAACGGTTTTATAAGAGGAAAAAAGAAAAATTTATGACTATTTTAAGAAAGAAGGAAAGAAAAAAAGTGATGTTTAAATAATATTCATTGCAAATTATTAAGAACTATCTGACAACAGAACATATAAAACCACCAAAATCAGTGACAAAATCGATTAGCGTATATATAAATTTTAGAGTACATACGGCCATTTTTCTTAACTTATGATTACTGATAACTGTCCTGTATGAAAACTATTCTACGAAGATTGTGTAAAATTTTACAAGATCTTAATGATAATCTGATATGATGATATTCAAGACGTTTCTTGCTATGAGATACTAACATGTATTATGATCAGAATCTTCGAAGATCGTATCTAATATTATAACGATCATTGTTTTTTGTTTTACTTATTCAAAGAGATTTTTTTTTAACAATATTTTTATACATTTCAATAAATATTTGAGTGATTATTATATCATTTAGTTTTAATGATACATCTTCTATAATCAGAAATAAATATTCTGTATAGAAATTCAGACAGATGATGACATTCGTTTGATCGATAAATTAGATTCAGTAACATGATTAAGGGTAATTAGTATTTTAATAAGTTAATTACTTTTAAAATTATATCGAAGACAGGTATTAATTCAAGTGAGTCACGATAGTTTCATCAGATTTCCTGGAGAATGGCTGCGTCACAGTAGAGAACTAGACGATGAGGTCAATTTTTGAGCCTATATCATAGCTAACATTGTAGATATTGAGATTCTAAGTTTAAGTGCATAGAGAATACTGTCTTATAGTTCAGTGTCTCTTAAGTAAAAGACACCACAAAGTACTTAACATGGTTATATGCCATCAATAGGACTATATAAGTGAAACCTATATTTTAAATTGAGGATTTACACCTTTGGGCAAAAGTCTTGTTCACTCTCTTCTTTCTCAAAGAAGCTTTCTCTACTATTATAAGGACAAAACACGATGTTGCTCGAGCCATATAAAAGATATTCTTCGATAACCTCTGATATCGGTCTGAAAAACGCTATGTTTTATCCTGATAATAGTATAGGAAAAAAAAAACTTTGTTGCAAAAGGAGAGGATGAGAAAGACTCTTGTCCATAAATGTAATTATATTCATTAGTTGTAATTGAGTTATATAGTGTTATGTATTTAATATATATTATAGACCATTTAAACTTCTTGAAGTTTTTCAGAATGAAATAAGATAAAAAACTTACACTCAATATAGTACAAAATAACCATTGATTTATAATTGACTTATTTTTCCAGAACTTAAATTCACGCATTAATATATCATTTGATAGAATAGCTCATTACCTATTTTCAGTGGATGTGCAAAAAAAATGCGCGTTTAAACACTTGTTGAGATCTAATGTCCTAAATATAAGTTTCTATCGAAATGTGTTGACAATTTTTCTACAGTGATTAATCATATTTCTAGTTGATTAGATTTCAAATAGACAAATAAACAGTAAATGTACATCACCTTCAAATTTTATATTTTATGATTTTATTGTAAAATTAGTTGTTTGACTCTTATTTTAGAAACAAAATATATGAACAAGTCAAACATCTTTCCCTTATTTGTCTGTTTATGCTGTCAAACATTACACTATATTTATTACTGACTAGATATATAGACAGATAATGTTAGTGGCAGTGAATAAGGTTTTTTTAGTAAGATCTAATATAGATTATAACAGATGCAACAAATATCGAGAAATTTAGTTTTTAAACAGAACTTCAAAAACTATGAAGAACTCAGAAACTCATTTAATTACGTTCCAAAATGATTGTAAATTTGGTATAGCATTTCTCAATATATTCTTGAGCATACGAGAGAATCATTGACGAAACTTATGAAATAGTATAAATTGATCAGACGTATTTTTGTCATTTCTTTTTTGTTTTTTCTAACAAATTTCATAGTATCATTTAGCTCATTAGCATGTCATAACTAGGGCTGTACAGCTCACGCTCACGTAAGCGTGAGCGGTGGTCGCTCACGCTCATATGAGGGCTCATGAGCGTGAGCGTTTTCTGACTTAAAGAAAGTACGAGCGCCTCTGATCACTTTTTTCAACTTTGTTCCTCGTAAATCAATATTCATGATTTTTGTGCCTGGGGCCCTCCTCAGGTATCATGAAAAAAAAAATTTTTTTTTCACGAGTCAAAATCAGATGTAATAGTAGATTGAGAGGTACTGGTTAAGAATATCACAATGAGAGCTCTCAAAATCTTTTTATTCTTGGAATAGTCCTAACAACTCTACGCACCCTATTCTTCATTATTAGGGTCCTCATAGAATATTTATTCATTTAAATTTAGCTAGAGATATCTTTCTTACCCAAAATTTCGAGTTCTCTACAGTTCTGAGTTTGTTACGCCAAAAAAAAACGTAATTTTTGGGAAACAACGGTCATTCCAGTGTCAAAATGGGTCTTTTTTAAATACATAGAATTTTCTCCTGACAACTTTTCGGGAAGACACCGTTATCATAACATGACATTTAGACCATTAGACCAATTTTTCAAGCTCTCACGGTTGGCAACGACAAAAATAATTGAAAATATGTTCAACATAGTGAAAAACTCTAAATTCTGGTAAAATTCGTCTTTTCTCACAAGATTTTCACATATATGGTTGACTATTAGTACAAAAACAGTCTTCCTTGGACGTCAAACTCGAAGCATACATCTCGCTTTTCAAGCTCTATCGATTTGCAGTTGCCACAAGATGAAAACAGAAGAGCAAAAGAAGGGAAATTCCAAAAACTGGAACATTTCGTACCTTTTCAAAATGTTCATATTTCTGCAATCAAGTTTTCTGAAAGAAAAGGTAGTCTTTTCAGTAAACTTTTTGAGACTCGATTGACTGATGATACCGGTGGTAGATAGATAAGATCGAAGATGGGAAAAAAGCAGTCAGGATCGAGAAACATTGCCTTGTTCGATATAAATCGTAATATAACTGAATGGTAAATTCCTGTTAGAGAGTACTTATGCGGGAAGAGCAGCATAAATCGAACTGTTGCATGATAGATTTGGAATAGAAAGAGTGTTATCTACTAAATAAATTTTAGGATTGTGAGAATTCATTATGGTCTGTTGTCTAATTATGATAAAAAGATGAAGAACAAAAGATTAGATCGCAAATATTGAAGAGAAGCGTGGAAATAACGTAATGCTTCTATTTCAATTGATTTAAATCAGCTTCGTTGTTTGGTTTTGCCTCTTACCTCAGTAAGAAAAGACAGTTTGAATTAAAATAAATCTACAATGTTTCCGTCAAAATAAAAAAGACCTGGCTATCAATGTTTTTATATAGATATTCAGAGTTGAGGTCCCGCAAGATAAAGACTTGTACTCTTTAACGTCCTACACTGCCTCATCCTGAAAAAATTTTTATCGCACATTTAAACGCACAGGTTTTTACGACAAGTTGAGTTGTCCAGCTATCACTATCTACAAAGATCAACGAGAAGTGAATGTGATCCTATACAAGTTTTCGATGTAGAACTAGTTTGAATTAGATTAATTTATAATTGCAGTCATCTATTTAGACCATAGTTGATAGCGATTTTCGATGTAATGCCGGTTAACATACTATTTTGCTGTGTATTGATTTATTGATGCTTTGATCATGATACACACATATACTATCAATCACACAACTTATTTTTTCAAATATTTTAATAAGTGTACACTACATTTGACGTTCCTTTTCAGCCCAAAAAAGCCAACATTTTTAAGAACTAGCAGGATATTTTGTAACTGTCATATGAGATGCTGGGCAGTGAAGATTGCATTTTTTTTTCACAATTTAAATATGAATCTTGTCAATAAAGGCACTGAACTCAAAAGCGTCATTAGAGTTGAAGATTGGCTCTAACTGTTGTCTTGCTGATATAACGCAAGAGAGAATTGCTAAGAAACTTCTCTAGTTCCTACAATAATGATTCAACAAAAAAAAACTGCATGGTAGCTTTTTATAAGCTCGATATTCTGACACTCATTGACTTTATAAGAAAAGTCACTTAACTTTGATCAAAGGCAGCAAGACAATTTACAATATCATATTTATATAAGATTCAAAGATCAAGCTTTTAAACATTAAAGGGAAATGTCTTGATTCGGACGGATAACTAAGAAAACCTAACCGTCGTCACCACATTTTTATGATAAACTTAGTTATCGATGGAAGTAACATATAGAGCCTGTTCAATACGAATGTATTAATATTGGAAACGGTCACGGATACTCCATTGAATTCTCAGATTAAGAAAATTAAAGCTTTTGAATAAAAAAGAGAAGTAAAATATTGGGCACATGCTAGTTTTTTGTGTTCACAGGA